GAGAAAGGGTGAATAGCGATATTAAAATATTTCTTCTAATTAGTTTCCTTTCAATGTTTATGAGTCCATGCACTGGGACATTAGTTTTCTTTAAGGGACTTGAGCATTTCACGATTTGGGTGTCCTTGGGGGTTCAGGACCCACTGCCCTGCAGATATCTAGGTACAACTGCATTTTTTACTACAGGCAATTTAAGGGGTTGTCAGTGGAAATTTTGGTTATTCAAGATTTTAACTTCAGGTTTAATTTTTTTTTTATTGTCTAAAGTTTTACATAAGTCTCCTTTTCCCCCAATTGACCGCCCCCTCAGGTTTAATTTTAACATTAGAACCTCTAACGAAAGATGGTGCTCACTTGTCATTCAGTTTTTATAGCTTTTTAAAATTTTTTATTTTTTTTTATAAACATCAGATTTTTATTTCTTACAGTTCTGGAGGCTGGAAGTCCAAGATCAAGGTGCTAGCAGATTTGGTGTCTGGCGGAAAAAGCTATAGCTTTTATTAATGCCGTTAGCCTTGGTTGGAATTTTAGGATCTCGATAACGAACCCAAACCTTAGACTGTTTGGTCACCTCATGCGGACATGTTAGCATGATGTAGGCCTGGGCCCAGCCTCTCTCCTTGTGGTTCCTGAACGTTTCTGCACAGCTTTGGGGAAGCCGGTGGGGGTAGACAATAGGGGCACACTTTTTTTTTTCCTGCTGACTGCAGGACCCTTCTGGAAAGTTCTAGGTTGTGAATCGTGTCCTGCAGGCAGAGCTTCATGCCAGCCTGGCCCAGCCCGAGTGCCCCCTTTCCTGCCCATGTCCTGCCCTGTTTGTGCCTCTGTCTGCGCCCTTGTGCGGGCAGGCAGGTCGCCTCCTGCAGGAAGCTCAGGCCCTGAGCAAGTCAGTGGGCTTCTGTCACTCTGGTTTCCTGACCTGTCATGGAGGTGAGGGGCCAGGTCAGGCCCAGCGTGGGCTCACCCTGTGGGAGGTGTTGTCAGTAGAAAAATACCATGAGGGAGGAGTGGTGTGAGTGCTGAAGCCAAATCAGGATTCCCCCTGCCTCCGTGTCTGCGTGACCCTTTCCACCCCTCCTCTGCACCCCCAGTGGCCATTCTGGTGCATTCGGCCTCCTCTCTTACCTCAGCCTCCCAGCTTGGCCTCTCTTCTCTCCAACTCGGCCTCTGTCCGGGGTCTCTGTCCAGTGCTCGTTGTGAAACAAGTCTGATCACGTGCTCCCTTCTGGCTCGGCCCTACCACTGCCTCTGTTGCCCAGGCGGCTAGGTTTATTTCCCGTCCTCTGAAGTGTCCTCTGAAGTCGTCCTCGATTCCCTTGATGTGTGTGTGTGTGAGACACATCCACTTTTTTTGTGTTTCACTGTCACATGCAGCTGTGTGATACTCCTTTGCATGTATAAGCCATAGATTTGCTTGCAAATAAAGCCTGTGAATATGCCAGGTAGGAACATTGGTGTCCGTGTCCTCAAGCACATGTGAGGGTCTCTCTAGCTTACTGGTTCTCATTGAGGGCAACTGCCCCTGGAGACACTGGGCCTTGTCTGGGGACATTTGTGGCTCTCAGGACCGGGGTGCTCAGGCATTAGGTGTGGGTAGAGGCCAGGGATGCTGCTCAATGCTCAGAAGTGCCCAGGATGGCCCCTCCCCACAGAATGACCAGGCGAATGAGGATGTCTGCCTAACCCTGGAGGTGCTGGGCCCTGGGTGCGAATGTCTTGTTTATCCTTTTTAAGGCCATTTGGCTTGCCCTCTGCTGGTTTCCTGTCACAGCTACACTCGGGCATTTGTCCTTCTTCATCTTTTTTAAAATTAATAAACTTTATTTCTGAGAGCAATCTTAGCTTCTCAGCAAAATGATGAGGCAGGTTCAGAGATTTCCTGTGTACTCACACAGCCTACTGTCAGCATCGGGCACTAGATGGTGCATTTGTTATAAGCCATGTACCTAGATCGGCATGTCATAGTCACCCAGAGTCCGTAGGCTACCTTAGGGTTCACTCTTGGTGTCATAAATTCCATGGGGTTGGAAACTACAGAGTAGTTTCACTGCCTTAAAAATACTCTGTGCTATACCTATTTATCCTCCCTCCACTTTCTGGCAGCCCCTGATTCTTTCACTGTCTCCATAGTTTTGCCTTTCCAGAATTTCATATACAGATGCCCTTTGACTTGTGATGGGTTGTTATATCCTGAGAAGTCGAAATATTCTAAGTAAAAAACATATTTAGCCCTGGCCAGTTGCTCAGTGGTTGGCGCGCTGGCCTGAGGACCTGAGAGTCACGAGTTCGATTCCTGGTCAAGGGCACTTGGTTGTAGGTTTCCCTCCTTCCCTCCCTCCCTTCCTCCCTTCCTCCCTTCTTTCCTCCCTTCCTCCCTTCCTCCCTTCCGCTCCCCCTCTCTCCTCCCTTCCTCCTTTCCTCCCTTCCTCCCTTCCGCTCCCCCTCTCCCCCCTCCTCTTGCCCTCCTACTCTCTCTAAAAGTCAATGGAAAAAATATCTTAGGTGAGGATTAAAAACTAAACAAAACATATTTAGTACACCTAACCTACCGAACATCACAGTTTAACCCAGCCCGTTGTGAATTGAACACTTACATTCACCTCCAGTTGGGCAAAATCCCAATCCGGCCCGTGTCACACAGGCCGGCCTTAGGGGCATCGGATAGAACATGGTGGAGTGCTGCGGGATAGGGCAACCAAGGTACATGCCCTTGACCGGAATCAAATCCGAGACCCTTGAGTCTGCAGGCCGATGCTCTATCCGCTGAGCCAAACCGGTTAGGGCCTTTTTTCTTTTTTTAAAAAATATATTTTTATTGATTTCAGAGAGGAAGGGAGAGGGAGAGAGAGATAGAAACATCAGTGATGAGAGAGAATCATTGATCGGCTGCTTCCTGCATGCTCGGTAATAGGGATTGAGCCGGCAACCCAGGCATGTACCATTGACCAGAATCGAACCCGGGACTCTTTAGTCTGCAGGCTTACGCTCTATCCACTGAGCCAAACCATCTAGGGCCTTTTCTTTTTTTTAAGGAAAAAGCAGCTTGATTGAGATTGAACTCATAACATACAATTCTCTTTAAAATATGCAATTCAGTATTCTTCTCTCTGTCTATAGATTTGTAACTGTCATCACAGTAAATTTTAGGACATTTTCATCCAAAGGAAACTACACCTTTTATTGATCACTGCCTTATTCCCCATCTTTCTCCCGTAGCCCCTGGCAATGGTTACCCACTTCCTGTCTGTGGATTTGCCTGTTCTGGACATTTCACATAGATGAAGGCACATACTGTGTGGCCTTTTGTGTCTGGCTTCTCACTGAGCATCATGTATTCAAGGTCCATTCACGTTGTAGCGAGTGTCAGTGCTTCACTCCTTTTCATGGCTGAATAATATTCCATTGTGTGAATGGGTAAACATTGTGACACCTAGGGGGATTTCAGAGGGGCCCTGGCAGCCTGTGCAGCTGTAGACAAGTGATGGTGTGTCCAGATGCATTTTTTGGGGGGAGGGGTCATCATCCCTCAAATTCTCAGGTTTGTGATGAAGAAAGAGTAACAACCACTGGACTGAAGGATGACCTTGGACCCTGGAACTTGCCTCCACTGTGACCCCCGATGCTGTTTGCATATTAATTGCAACCAGCCCTTTGAAACATCAGCTTTTGGTAAAAAATTGGAAGGAGGGAAGTGTATGTTTTCCTCTCTTTTCCCTTTTCTTTAGGACCGCTTCTGAACCAGGTTGTTCTGCCCCAAGGGCCAGTGGAAGTTTGGAGACATCTGTGGTTGGCATGACTGGGGGAGCTCCTGGCATTGTGGTGGGGAGGGGCAGGTGTGCTGCTCAGCACCTTGCAGTGCTCAGGATGGCCCTCCACAGAAAACGATCCGGCCCGTGTCACACAGGCCGGCCTTAGGGGCATCGGATAGAACAAGGTGCCCTTGCAGGTCCTTGCTGGGTGTTGGTGGAGTGCTGCGGGATAGTTCCTAATAAAAGGTAACTCCTTGGCTGAAACCGGTTTGGCTCAGTGGATAGAGCGTCGGCCTGTGGACTGAAAGGTCCCAGGTTCGATTCCGGTCAAGGGCATGTACCTGGGTTGCAGGCACATCCCCAGTAGGAGATGTGCAGGAGGCAGCTGATCGATGTTTCTCTCTCATCGATATTTCTAACTCTCTGTCTCTCTCCCTTCCTCTCTGTGAAAAATCAATAAAATATATTTTAAAAAAAAAAAAGGTAACTCCTTGGCCTTTTGTGCCGTCGGGATGCCACTCAGAAGACAAACTTCACACCCAGGGGTGTAGACTGCTGAGCTGTGCTGGCCACAGTGTCCTGTTAGCAGGTGTCTAGTGTGGGCGGAATTAGCATCAAGGAGTTAATAGGGGTGGAGGTAACGGATCTGAGAAGTTGCCCTGTGTGGGTAAGACCTGAGCTAGAGCTTTACAGGGGAGACTTGTGGATGTTGGGGTGCATGTCTCCTTGGACTCACCTAGGCTGGGTCTCCTTCCTGGCCACTGCTGACACTGGGGCCAGGTCACTGTCTGCGGAGGGCCATCCTGGGGAATGTGGAAGGTTTTGCAGTATTTCTGGCCCGATGCACTCCATCGTGACAACCATAGACGTCCCCAAACATTGAGTGCCAGTGGCACCTGTATGCCGGATTGCCCTCAACTGAGAATGACAGTGTTTATTGTAACAAAAGTTGCAAAGCATGTTAATTCATGAAGTACTAAGGAAACCTCCCCTGACATCTGATGTGTGTCTACAGCACAGCAGGATTGTGCTGTGCTCATGGGGACACTTACCTAATGACACCAGGAGTCCTCATTTGAGAGGGTCTGGGGAAGGGGTATCAGTGTGCATGCCCACAAGGGAACAGGTTTTATTGTCCCATAATCTGAGGGCAGATCCCCTCCTTAGCTCACAGCATGTGCCTGTGCCTGGCACCCAGAAGACACACTAAATACAGGTGGGCAAGTGATCTCTGTCTTGGTGTCTCTGCAGATGGAGGATGGCCACACCCTCTTCGACTATGATGTTCGCCTGAATGACACCATCCAGCTCTTGGTTCGGCAGAACCTCATGCCTCCTCCCCCCAGTAGCAGCAGCAGCAACAACCAGGAGAGAGACTCTGAGCTTTCTGACACGGATTCTGGCTACTGCCTGGGCCAGAGCGAGTCGGACAAGTCCTCGACTAGCGGTGAGGTGGCTGCGGAGGCGGACAGGAATTCAGGCTTATCTGATGAGGCAGTGTGTGATGAGACGGAGCTGGGCCTGTACAAGGTGAGGCTCCTGCAGGAGGTTTGGGGTCTGGCCGATCTCTGCACCCCTGAGGATCATTCCTCATGCTCCACTGACTTTGGCTTCCCCACCACCGAGCCATGAGCTCATGAGGGCGGGCCATCTCCCCTCCATCCCTGCGGCTGGGCACCCACAGTCCTGTCGTGAAAACCTGAAGTTTCTTTGGCAGAAGCATGTGCTACTCCAAATTTCTTCCTGATCCCTGAAACAGAATCCTGGGTCTGGCCTACAGGTGTCTGCTCTGGCCTCTGTAGTGGCTGTAAAATTTCTGAATTCTCTGCCACCCTCTAAGATCATGAAATTTCATATAATGATCTGGATTCTCAGCTTTTCTTGAGAAATGAGTTCTGGCCTCCCTAGGCTGAGTCTGCTTTCAGGGACATTGGCAAAATCTTGGGACATCTCTGGATGTCATGACTGGGGATACTGCTGACATCAGGTTTCCCCAGTCATGGGGGACGATTCTCAACACCCAACAATGGCCAGGATGGTCCCTCACAGAGGGATCCCTATGACCACACACAGTGCTGCACTCGAGAAACCCGAGTCCAGGCTTTTGGATTTGCGTCCCAGGCCTGAAACAGCCAGTGCCAAGGATCAAACAGGCCTGAGATATGATGAGTGAGTGTTGCTGATCAGATTTCCTTCCCTGGGTTGGATAAGAGAGTTTCCCTTTACCTTGCAGGTCAATGAGTACGTTGATGCTCGGGACACGGATGTGGGAAGTTGGTTTGAGGCGAAGGTTGTCAGGGTGACAAAGAAGCCACCATCCCAGGACACGCCTAGTAGCTCCACCTCATCTCAGGACACGCCTTGTAGCTCTGCTTCGTCCCAGGACACGCCTTGTAGCTCCGCCTCATCCAAGGACACGCCTTGTAGCTCTGCTTCCTCTCAGGACGCACCCTGTTGCTCAGCCTCCACATTGGAAGAAGACGATGACGTCATTTATCACGTGACATATGATGAGTGAGTGTCATTCCAGGGAGGTGGTGGGCCAGAACTGTTGGTCCTGTGTATATAGAACCTGGAGTTTGGTACAGCCTTGGGGATGATGGTCAGGATTCGAGGCTCCCACCCTCATGCTCCCAAACAACACAGGAGGCTGCACCTAGAGGACTAGTGTCACAGGGACCCAAAGCTAGGCCGGCCCCTCCTCAGGTCTCCTAGGAGAACTCTGCTCTGACTTTCCAGTCAGACCCCCCTTTCCCATTTCCTGTTCTATTTTATTCATACCTCGTATCATTGTCCCACCTGAAACCATCTTACGTGTTTGCCCTCTCCCTCACCGGAATGGGTATTTATTGAGCACTTACTGTGTGTCAGGCCCTGTGCTGGCCACAGGGATTCTCGTCTGTTAACCCAGAGGCTGTCTTAGTAGGCTTGGGCTCCATAACAACATACCGCATGCTGGGCGGCTTAAACAGCAGACATGTATTTTCTCACAGTTTTGGAGGTGGGAAGTCCAAGGTCAAAGTATTGGTAGGGTTGCTTCCTTCTTGGCTGTCTTCTCACTGTGTTCTCACATGGAAAGAGAGAGAGCTCTGGTGTCTCCTTCTCTTACAAGGACACCAACCCCATCAGATTAGGGACCCAACGGTATGACCTCATTTAACCTCAGTGATCTCCCGAAAGGCCCCATCTCCAAATGCTAGTCACATGGTGGGGAGGGATACAATTCAGTCCACAACAGGGCAAGCGTGCCTGTCCATAGGAAGCTCACATTCCAAAGGGCACAAGAGCTTCCTTTGGTTCTCTGCTGGGTCCCTGCTGCCTATCCCAGTTTCTGGCATATACTAAGCTTTATTAGCTCCATAAAAATTACTGAAGTAATTGAATAATGAATCACAGTAGACATAAGATTCCCATCTACTTAGGTTAGAGGATGCAAACCAAGCCTGAGGGCCAAATCTAGCCCACCCCTTGTATTTGTAAATGAAGCTGTATTGAAACACATCAACGCCCATTTGTGTTTGCCTATTGCCTGTGAATGCTTTCTTAGTGATAGCAGCACAATTGAATATTCATGATAGGGACCTTCTAGCTCACAAAGCCAAAAATACAGTAAACCCTCGATTTAATGGACTTCGTATTTAACAGACAAAATTTCTAGTCTGTGAGTCATATGTGAACATTAACACCCTGATGCCCAGCTGGTGTAGCTCAGTGGTTGAGTGTCGGCCATGAACCAGGAGGTCTTGGTTCGATTTCCCATTCAGGCCACATGCCTGGGTTGCAGGCTTGATCCCCAGGGGGTGGCAAGCAGGAGACAGCAGATCAAAGATTCTCTCTCATCATTGATGTTTCTATCTCTTCCACTCCCTTCCTCTCTGAAATCAAGAAAAATATATTTTAAAAAAACAAAAGAATTATTTGGAGATGTTTAAATGAAGCATCTCCAGAGTACGAATTTAAAAAAAATTTAACACCCTGTTAATTTTGAAATGCTTTTAACCAAGTGTTGTTTATAGTTAAATTACAGGTTATTTTTGTTATTAATTCACTTATTTTAAACAAATTTTAGTGATTAAGAAATGTAGCAAAAAACACTGTAGTAATTTTGCCAATATAAATAATGTATATCTATAGCTATAGTCTACATATTTAAATCCAAGTGTCACCATTTCTAAACAATGTTTGGCAAATGATTAGCACATGATCACACTGCATGGCACTTGGTATTAGTGGTGGTGTTGAGTGGTGTGACTTTCTACAGCAGTTTTCACGCGTGCTAGCTGATGTGCTAGGCTACACCCCCCCACACGTGTGCATTTGTTTACTCAAGGTGACTAATGAATGCACACATTTACTAGATCAATTCAGTATAAATTTAAAATTACAGTAATATAGAAAACTTTTCTGTGAAATTAAACTTTTCATACATACTTAATTTTAATTACACAAATATGTCTGCATAAGTCAAAATAGGTAAACTAATTTGTCAATTTTTTAACATACACATTCGGAAAACACTCTATTATATAACGGGCTTTCAGCTTTAATGGACACCCCCTCGCTCAGATTAGTCTGTTATATCGAGGTTTTACTGTATTTACTATCTGGCCTTTTACAGGAAAAGTTTGGCAACCCTTGCCTTCGGTGGTTTACTAGTGAAAATAATGAGTGCCAGGAGATATAGCTACTCATAATAGATTTGGAGTTGTCCCCTCACAGGTGAGGTTTAAATTTGTTTCGGATAGAATTTGTTTCTTTCAGGCCAGTTATTTTATGCCTTTTATGAGGCTGCTGGAATATTTCTGTATATCCAGCATAATGACTTCCTACTGTATCCTAATAGCCAATGCATTATATTTATATAAATGAATTAATGCATGTCCCTCTGCAAAAATCATTTTCAGAATGCGGAAAAAGTTAGCTTACAGTTCCGGAGGCCAAAATCAAGGTGTCAGCCAGGCCATGATTTTCCCGAAACCTGTAGGAGAGAATCCTTCCTCGCCTCTTCCAGCTTCTGATGGTGGCCGGCAATCCTCGGCTTGTGACTATATTATTCTAGTCTCTGTCTCCCCCTTCATGTGTCATTCTCTGTGTCTGACTTGTTCCGTCTTATAAGGACACCAGTTATAATGGATTAAGGCAGTGTGGCTTCATCTTAACTTGATTACATCTGCAAAAACCCTATTTCCAAATTAGGTGCCATTCCCAAGTGCCAAGGGTTAGACCTCCAGCATATCTTTTTGGGGGACGCAAGGTCAACCCATAGCACCTCTGTAATTGAAACCTGTCTTCTGCACCTGTGTATTTTCGACACCTGCAGAGGGGAATTTACTTCTGCGATGAGATAGCCCACACCTCTGTTGTGTGTGGCCTTCTCCTCGCTTCTCTCTTGTTGGAGGGAAAGTGGTGTGGTGTTGCCCTGGGATCTGAGTGTGGGGTTTTCCTCCCAGTTACCCGGAATACGGTGTGGTCCAGATGAGTTCACAGAACGTCCGGGCTCGAGCCCGAGAAATCATCAGATGGCAGGAGCTGAAGGAGGGCCAGGAGGTCATGCTCAACTACAACCCCGATAGCCCGAAGGAACGGGGCTTCTGGTACGATGCAGTGATCACGCGGAAGAACCAGACCCGGACATCGCGGGAGCTGTATGCTAACGTCAGGCTCGGGTGAGTGGCTCTCCAGCCAGCACGCTGTGGGCAAGGCCCTCAGCCTCCACCTGTCCTCCCCTCTGGGGCTCCGCTCCACTTCCTGCTGGTCTACTGGTGATCTTTCTGAGACTGACCCTTCATGCCCCTGCTCGGGAACTGTCTCTGAGCCTCAGGTGGAAATGTTGGCCTTCCCTGTTCGCTTTTATTTGTTGTTTTAGATTTGGCAAATAGGTAAGAACATAAAATGCATTCAAGTCAGAAGGTACTGCCCTGGTTGGTGTTTCTCAGAGGTTAGAGCGTCAGCCTGTGCACCAAAGGGTCTCAGATTTGATTCCCTGTCAAGGGCACATACCTGGATTGCGGGTTTGCTCCTCACCCCCTGTCAGGGTGCATGTGGGATGGTCTCTCATATCGATGTTTCTATCTCTCTTTCCTCCTCCCCTCCCTCCCTTCCACTCCTGGAAAGCAAATGGAAAAAAATATCCTCAGGGAGAATTACAAAAAAACAACACCTTTCTGGAGATAATGACTGTTCACGTGAACTTCCAGGGACATTCGGTGCACAAACAAGCATAAACAAACACACCAACCCACATAATGGTGTGCCCCATATCCAGGGTCAGCAAACTGCAGGCCAGAGCTGGCCCTTTGCCTGTTTTGGCAAATAAAGTTTTATTGGCACACAGCCACACCCATCTGTTTGCTAATTATCTGTGGCTCCTTTTGTGTTGGAAGTGCACATTTGAGTAGTTGGGAAAGAGACTGAAAACATGTACTGTTTGATTTTTTGCAGAAAATATTTGCCAGGCTCTGTTCTACTTTGCGTTTCTGTATGCGTGTTAAAACAATATATAATAGAAAACTTACTATCCTAATCATTTTTTAAAATAAGTTTTTATTGATTTTAAGGGGGGGAGGAGAGAGAAACATCCA